ACTCTAATCTATAAATAGACAGAAAGCAAACATTAAACTTCTGTCTATATTCTGAGGGACTACACCCTAACCATACATTTGAGGCAATTATTATATTCTCTATGCTTACAAAAAAGATAATCTATTTATATATGTATTTAACAACAAAAATGGCTAATTTCGCAAAGAAATCACTTGTATTTGACTTGCAATTAGCTATAATTGATAATAATTTGGATAAAATTGGCGAAATTATTCGTGTGAATACTGTGGACTTGAATGCCATTACGTTTATAGGAAAGTCTACTCCACTAAGTCTGGCTATATATCACGGTTTGGCTAATTGTGTGCAACTATTACTGAATGTAGGCGCAGACCCTAACAGGCGGTCCACCGATAGTGTCGGCAGAGTTGAGACACCGCTGTGTACTGCCGTCAGATTAGGTATAAGAATATTCTGTGAATTCTTTACAAAATAATTGAATTTTTATTCATTCAATTGAAGGTAATCTAGAAATTCTTAAGATTCTGTTGAACAGTCCGACCATTGAGGTGAATGGGACCGACTTTTTTGGTCAAAGCCCTGTATGGCTGGCCGTACGGGAACGTCGGCCACATTTTGTGAACCTAATCGTTAAGAACAAGAATTTTTGCAGACATTCAAAGAGTTTTTTGAATAGTGCTTCAAATCCGTTATATTTGTCGGCGAAGTATATAAATGAAGGAAGAATTGAATGCTTTAAGACTTTACTAAACATTGGCCTTAAAGTGAACGAAGATATTGTGAATTTTATACTCAAAAGTAATAATAAGCTATTGATTGAAATGATTGAAAGGTGTGAAGAAAATGTCATTTTAAATACAAATCAGTTGAATAGACAGCAAGTGCTGCCTTTAAAACATTTAACTCGACTCACAATACGTGCCACTTATTTATCACATACTTGTCTGCCTATCAATTTTGACAATTTCTATCAGTACTTTCCATATCTACCTAAATGTTTGATTCAGTTTTTAGTAGATTTATCTATGAATTGACAGAAAAACTTATACAGGCATTAATATTTGACATGTACAGTATTTTTACTTTAAATTCCATTTTATCACATTGTAAAATAATTTTGTATACTTTTATAAATTAATGTTTTATCTGAAATGTAAAATTAAAATGATTATAAGAATAACTGTGTATCGTATTTGTGTCTATTTTTAATAATTTTTCTCTCAGTCTCTAAATTACATTATTTAGTAAATAATGTGCTAAAATTGTAACTGAGCACTTTATCTATAGATTGTCAAAACATTTTTTGCCAAAAACTTGGATAAAAAATACTCGTTTGTTACTCTTATTGCAATTAAAACAATGTATTTCAATGTCACCGACAAAACTGAGACCAAAATAAGTTCAAACGAAAGCATTGCGTCAAATATGGTTTAAATTATGTATTTTTATTTCGGATAAAAATCATTACTCGAAATGATTGGATAAACAAATACATATTTTTTGGGAATAAATAATTGATTCATATATCGCTCATAGCAACACAACTCTCGGCCTATTGTTTACCCAATATTTGCAGTAAACTTCAACTAAAATAGTGTACAAATAATTAATAAATAGATAATGTGTTTCATTAATATACAGAATTAATACACAGAAAGGCAAACAAAAAAATNAACAATTGGTTGGAAATGCTCTTAAAGTAGTCCATAACCGCGAATTCGTTGGTGTCGTCACCGATCTCTGCCTTCACCTCCGCGTAAGTGTCGTTAATAATCGCCAAAAACATGTTCTTTAAGACAAAAATACATTGAATGGCAACCAATCAATAGATTAATATATTCAGACATACCATCAGAACGAAGAACACGAAAAATATATAGCTGAGGAAGAAGATGGGGCCCAACACTCGGTTGGCCGCCTCCAAGGCTTGGAAATCAAAGTCACCCAAAATCAGTCTCAAAAGAGTGAATCTTTAGCAAAATAATCATCAGAATTGAGTCAATCTTTAAAGTTGTGCCAAAAATAAGTGAATACATACACGGCTTTACCAAAACTGCTGTAGTCCTTGACTTGAGTACCAAACAAAAGATAACCCAATTGTGCGAAAGCAAAGAATACGATGAAAAACATGACACCAAAGCCGGCGATGTCTTTAGCGCACTATTGGTATAGGAAATGATAAGCAACTCATAAATTAGTTTATATACAAAAATAATAAGTGAAAATCAAATTGAAATCCATTTCGTACTCGACTGAGAGTAGAGCTGAGTTGAGACATAGTCTTATTAAAGCTGATATACTTGAAGAGCTTAATCCACGCCACGAACGACAGGACGGCCAGTATATTACTGAACTGCGCCGACCAGAAACCAAGTGTGTCGAACTGGTAGGTCTCGATCTGGAGTGCCAGCGACGAGCTATTCTGGAGGCTCTCGGTGTCCATACTCTCCATGGAGTCGCCGTTTGTCGTGTAGGCCTCGCTGAAGATCTTGTTGATGACATACTTGCGGTATATGAGGAAGAATACCAGCATTACTGATATAAGTATAGTGAAGATGTCGAGGAAGTTCCAGCCGGAGCTCTGAAAGTATGGCCAAAAGCCCAATGTCTTGATTTCGACCAATTCCTCGATTATATAGTAGGCAATGAAGACGACAAATAGCGTGAAGCATATGTATAGAGCTATGGGTGCGTCCGACGAGTTCTCCAGCAGATTAAGTGTACGGAACTGCCACGAAGTGATCAGACCTCCAGTGGCCGGGAACTCGGCGATCAGTTTTGTCACCACATATAGGTTTATGTTCGGGTTATAGGTCGTAAAGTCAATAAATATAGCTCTCGTTCCCCTATCAATCCACAAGTTTTTCTTCAGGTCCTTGATTTTGGCCAAAGCTTTGGTCTTGTTTAGGGTCAGGTCTACGATATACCCGCCCTCTCCTGAATACGTGCCCAAAATGCCTGTTAAATAATTAAATTGCAACAAATTTATTAAAATACCTAGCAAAATATTTAATAATTCTTAAAATACTGATCAGAATATCGGAAAGTAAATACAGACCCCAGACATCATTCTTGGCGAATGACTTAATCTCTCTCCACTGAAAACTGGTGTCATTCTTAGCGTTGGTGGTCTCCCTGTCCTCATAGGGCTGGGCGTAGAAGTTATAGCACGAGAAGATGGCTCTCTGGAAGTCCTTATGTACTTCACACGAGTCGTTCTTCACCTTCAATTGTCTCATTCGTGGCGAACCCAACAAATAGTTTTCATACAAAACTGAATTCTTGGTGACCAGTGTGTCGTTGTTATACCAACGTTCCCAATACAGGCCGTCCATGAGTGGCCCCTCAGCAAACTGAAGTCAAATACAGTATAAAGCATGGACATTTTATATTTTAATTAATTTCTTAAATATTGTCTGAATTTCAGACTTTGAATATTCAACATAAATAAGTTAACACATAAACTTACACTAAGTTTGTAAGTTATAAGTTAGCACTATTTTCTATAGCAATTTATCTTAGATCAATATTGTACAGTATAATTTAAATCATTTTTAGTATAATATTTTGAAATAAAGATTCAATTATGTAATTTTTAAATTAAAATCTTATTAACATTAAAATTAAAATAATTTTGAAGACTTACTTTCCAGAAGTCATCCATTTGTGAGGCTGTTCTGAATGTAACTCCACTGTTGTCAGCCCTGTCCAGGAACAGGTCACTCATGATCTTTGTCTGGTAGTACATCGTTGGGTTCATCATTGAAAAAGTTACTAGACACATTCAAATTCATTTAGAAAATTTAGTCAACTAAATTGGTAAGAATTAATAAGTGATATCTGTGTTAATAGCAAGTATAATTAAGAATTCTTACTATAGGTAATTGTGGTAAGGAATGCCACATAAATCAATAGTTCCCGAAGTGTTGTCTTAATAATACTGCCCTTAT